TTTTATTTAAAAACACGAACACTTTTGGAATTTGCAAGAATTAATTGAAACATGAAATATGTTTTGAAAAAGTTTTGAAACGGAAATATATTTCTTAAAACCAAACATATTTTAGATTGTGAACAAAATTTAAAAAGACGAACACTTTTTCAAAATAAGCGAACAATTTTCAAAATTCTAAACTTTTACGAAATTTCTGAACAAAAATTTGGAAACTGGGACAGTTTCTAAAAGAATGAACATAATCTGAAAAATTCACTTTTTAATAAAATTCTGAAACATTTGTTGAAAATTGAAAAAAAATCAAAAAGAAAATAGCAAGAAGAAAGAAAAAAGAAGAAAAAAGAAAGAGAAAAAAAAGATAAATAAAAAATAAAAATAAAAACAAATCCGGTTTAGGAACCTTCTAGAAGGTTCCCAAAACCAGAAAAAATCGGCTAGGAACAATCATAGAAGGTTCCCAAAACCGATACAGTGGGAACGAGGCCGGCCCACCCGCCTGCGCTCGCTCAATACCCCTGTGCGGGACCCCGACATTTTGCCGCAGAGAGCGGCAAATAGGGTTTTCCCCATCGATCGAGCAGTTTAGATCGAGCACCAGGCACGAGCGCTCGATGGCCTCCACTCAGGCCCATCTCGAGAGCCCAATGGCCCCGTATGGTTTCAATCTGTTTTTTTAGAAATACTGGGCCTACATAAAAAATTTGGGCCTTGGGCCCGGCCCTGCGTATGCAACGGCTATATTTGGTGTCAAGTTTTTTAGAACGATTCAAGAATTCAACAGCTCTGACTGTGGCTCCAGGTCGCCGGTCCTTAGGGGCGTGTGCACGAAGACTTTTTGCGTGTCATCGACAAGATCATGCCGAATCTGATATGGGAGCGGCGACAGCGACTCGTCGGGGGCTTGTTCTGATGGCTGCAATGGTCATTCTGTGATCCATGAACCATGATGTATATTATGTTTTGAGGTGCTTTGTACTTTCGGTTAATCCTTATAATAGATCTATTTAAAAAAAACTACAATGTCATTTGCATTACCTCAGTGGAAGTGAATGCACTCATACTTTCAGACAAGGTTACGTTTCTTTTTGTGTAATTTAAATGAAAAGATATTCATGGGTCACAACATATTCATTTGAGTTCTAAGATTAGACATGACAACATTTTGTAGTACAAACATTCAAGAGGTATAAGAAGGTCCAAATTAATTGCGCATATGATAATTTACACAAAAGTCTAACCTTTTTACCAAGAGATAACAATGTTGGGATCGATAGCTCAATTATACAAGAGTATAAGAATGAGCTAGAGATACGACCATGAAGAAGATTCGCAGGATGAATCTATCTTCTACGCCATTGGTACTCCGAGATGAGAGTTCTTAGAACAAAACAGAAGAGTTGAAGAGTGTAATAGAGGGACGAGCATGAAGAAGATGCATATAATGAATCGCTATTGAGTCACCTATTAGCTGTACTAAGTAGATGGCCTGTTTCCGAAAGTATCTCACCCTATCCAACCGATCCAACACGCACATGTATATTGGTCAAAACATTTACAAACATATTACAATGCTATAACAAAAGATATACGAGATACACTCCGCAAGATACAAAACCAAGTTTCTGAATCGTGATGCAGATGTACGACCCATAAAATGCATGCTCCAAATCCTCTGTCGTGATCAGCTAACATGACCAAAGAATTTTCAAGGAATGGTCCATAGAAGGGCGAACCTAACCAACCAGCTCTTCGTTTGTCTTTTTTAGAACAGCTCTTCGTTTGTCTAGTCCAGTTAGGGCATCTCCAGCCGCGCCCCCAACAGGCCCCCCCAGGCCACTTTTTCGGCGCCGGCGCCGAAAAAACGGCCCAGTCGCGCCCCCAGGACGCCGAAAATCGCCGGTTCGGACCTTTTTTCCGCCCGGCGGTCACAGGCCGAACCGGCGCGCTGGGGAGCCTTTGGGGCCTCCGGCGCTAGGGAAAAGCACGCCTGACCCACACCGACAGGGGAAAAGTCAAGGTTTTCTTCCCCGACTCGCCTCGCACCCCCCGCGCCCTCGGCCACCACTAGCTATATCCCGGCGACGGGCGCCGGCCTACTCCGCTAGATAGCCATTCCCCGCGGAAAATAGCAGCGCTTCGCCGCGGCAGCCCCTCCCGCGGCAGCTGGTCGTTTCCGGCCGCCGTTTCCGGCCGCGGAGGCGCGGTTTAACGGCGGGTACACGCCCACCGAGCGCAAGGTGTTCGGCATTTTGACTGTCTCGGCGATGGACTCGGATGAGGAGGAAGAGCTCGCCGCGCTGCTGGAGGAGGAAGCCGCGGCCGACGTCCAGGAAGAAGAGCATCTGATGGTGCTCGCCGCCCTCGCCCAGCTGCTGGCGATCAATGAAAAGCCGCGTCGAGGTGGCTCGGCGCCGGGGCGGGTGAAGGCAAAGAACCGGCATCGTCTGCAAGGCTACTGCATGCTCTACTCCGACTACTTCGCCGATGCTCCACTTCATGGCGAGAGAACATTTCGGCGCCGTTATCGGATGAGCCGAAAGCTCTTCCTCAGGATTGTGAATTCCATCCGGGAGTTCGACAACTACTTCAAGTGCAATATGGATTGCACTGGCGCTCTTGGATTCACCTCCATCCAGAAGTGCACGACAGCGATGAGGATGCTTGCATATGGATCTCCCAATGATTCACTCGACGACTATGGGCGCATGGCCGAGCCCACCAGCATAGAGTGTTTCTACAAGTTCTGTCGGGCAGTGGTGGCAGTGTTTGGGCCACAATACTTGAGAACATCCAATGCAGAAGACACTGCTCGGATCCTAGCCCAGAATGCAGCAATAGGATTTCCTGGGATGCTTGGAAGCATCGACTGCATGCATTGGCAATGGAAGAACTGCCCATTTGGTTGGCAGGGGATGTACAAAGGCGCCAAAGGCAGTTGCAGTGTGGTGCTTGAGGCGGTAGCCACACAGGACCTCTGGATTTGGCACTCCTTCTTTGGTATGCCAGGAACTCACAATGACATCAATGTGTTGCAGTGCTCTCCTGTTTTTCCCAAGCTCGTTGAGGGTCATTCTCCTCCGGTGAACTTTGAGATCAATGGGCACCAATACAACAAGGGGTACTATCTAGCTGACGGCATCTATCCGAGATGGTTGACATTTGTAAAGACGATCTCAAACCCTGTGGCAGGAGGCAAGAACGCCTGGTTTGCGAAGGTTCAGGAGGCTTGCAGGAAGGATGTCGAGCGGGCATTTGGTGTGCTCCAATCTCGATTCGCTGTTGTTCGGTAGCCCGCTCAGTCCTGGTCGAAAGATCAAATGTGGGATATCATGACTTGATGTGTCATCTTGCACAACATGATCATCGAGAGCGAGCAAAAAGGCTCAGTGTTTGACACTGAACCATACTACAGGCAGGGTCCTCTAGCCGAAGTTGATCACTAGCTACCGGCAACTTGGACTGCCTATCTCAGTATGCGTCAGGAGATCCGAGACCCACAGGTGCATCATCAACTGCAGAAAGATCTGATTGAGCACCTATGGAGGCTCAAGGGGGACGCCGCGTGATGAAATACGAGTTTTTATTTGTTGAACTATATAATTTGTATTGAACTATTTGTTGTTGTAGTATTTTGTTGAAGTATTTGATTTTTCTGTGACGAAATATGTGATAAGGAATAATTGTGTTGATAATTGAATGCCGAGACATGGCGAAACCACGCCGAATATGGGCCTATTCTCGCCCATATGGGCCGTTTATTCGCCGAAATTGAGCTGCAAAGTGGACCAATTTCGGCGAGCTGGGGGCGATGACTGGGCGCAAAACCGCCCCAGCGCCGAGTGTATCGCCGGCTCGCCCCCAGGGGGCGATTTGTATGCGTCCTGGGGGGGGGGGGGCAACGGCTGGAGATGCCCTTACCCTCGTGGTCGTATCTAGTGATGGCCCATACGGAAGTGGGGGCAAATCTTGGGGTTCTCTTGCTGCACGTGTTAGGGTTTGCTTGGGTGCTCCTATTCCACCTGTTATGTTTTTTTAGTCACTTTCCACGCGTTATGTGTTAGATACAGTGCAAACGCATGGGCCTTTCCCTCTTGGCGCACTAATTCGGCAGACCCATATTCCGCTCTCTACTCGCTATTTGTTTCGTTCAATTTTTCTGGTTACTAATTGTTCTGCGGTTTGCTAGACTGGATCTTTCATTGTTAGATCATGATCAAATCAAAGACACAAAAGACAAGTAAATAAATTAATTTTGAACAAGAACACAATAATTTTTTCCTTAAAACTCATGAACAACAAATGAATTACTTGTGAATTAAAAAAATGTTCACAAATTTTAGAAATGTTATCAATTAAAAAAATGTTCACGGCTTCAAAATTTGTTCAAGAATTTGGAAAATATTTGCAAAGAAAAAAGAATCTGTAAATTCCAAAAGGTTCGTGAATATAGGAAAATTGTGAATTCAAAAGACATTCATGAATTTCAGAAATGTTTATAAATTCGAAAATAATGTTTAGCTAACTTAGAAAACATTCATAAATTCAAAAGATGTCTACAGAATTCACAAAATGTTCATGATTTTTTTGCGAATTTTATAATTATTTGTGAATTAAAAAATGTGCGCAATTCGTTTTTTATCATGATTCCAATTTCTCTTCATGAAATCCAACAATGTTCACGAATTAAAAAACTCTCGTGGGTTAAAAAAAAGTAAAAAATGGAAAAAGCAAAAAATGTGAATGGGAAACAACTACTCCCTCCGTTCCAAAATAGATGACCTAACTTTATACTAACTACTCCCTCCGTTCCAAAATAGATGACCCAACTTTATACTAACTTAGTATAAAGTTGGGTCATCTATTTTGGAACGGAGGGAGTAGTATAGAAGAAGAAGAAAACCGGTTATTCCCAAAACCGATTGGAGCAAACAGAAAAATGGGCCAGGCCATGTAGCAGCTGGGCTCTCGTCAGTGCGCGGCCTTGTGCTGTATTCCCCATGTTACCCGGGAACAAGATCCACCCTAAAATCTTTCCCGCCATTTGGCCTCCCGTGTTCCCGCCACTTCCTCCCCAGACCCCAAACCCAGCCGTCCGTCCCACCCCACTCCCTCCTCCATCCCCGCCGCCGAAGCCCAAATCCCCACCCCGACCGACCGACGCGCCGCCGCTCCCCACCGGCCCCTCCCTCCGCAGAGCCAGCCCGCCCACGGCAGCGATGGAGGAGGAGATCCGCGCGGAGTTCGAGGGCAGCGGCTTCACCATCGGCGGCGACAGCGCCCAGATCCTCTCCACGCGTAAGCAGGCGCCCCCCGTTTCCCCGGTTTTCTTGTGCTCCATTCCGTTTAGTCGGCGCCGGCTGGTTTGCTGATGCGTGCGGTGTTGGTTCCTCTGTGTTTGGCAGTGCTGACCTACTGCGTCAACTACAAGTTGAGCCCCGCGGATCTCGTCTCCAACTGGGAGGTCTACTACCTCAACAGGTCAGTCCGCATAGGATAAAAAAATTGCACAATGTTGTAATTTCTTTCACATAGAGCCGTCTAAGTTTTGATGACAATCATCGATTCTGACCTTTATTGGTATCATATCTGACACATGTCATACTAGTTTGGGGGAAAATGTAATGAATATTTGGTCTGGATATAAGCCAGCATTTCTTCAGTAATGTCCTTTATTAGCATTCAATTAATCCTAGAAGTAGCAGCGTTGTTTTTGTGCGATTCCTGGTACGTGCATTCCATGTTTTGCTGGAATGGATATCAGTAGCGCATGGAAGCACACAAAACCTCAAGAATAGTGGATAGACACGCGCAAAGGAGAAGATTCACCTTTGCAAGTATGATCCATGTGTCCCTTGACTATGGAGCACTTGCCATGGTGCTGCCCGTAGGATGCTCCGCATCACTACCTCTATATGTTTATAGCTGTGGACATGATCTATCATCAAGCTTGTTTGTATTTCCTGCCGAGGCTTTAAATCTTATCCATATTTAGGCAGTGAAATAGCTAAAATCTTGTGGCTTATGTTGTATACTGCCTGATGCACTAAAGAATTCTGCCCAGCGTTCATTACACCAAGTCCTGTATTTTAGTTTTTCTGAACTCTATCTGACAAATCATATTTGCTACAAATTACAGCTCTGGTGGAGAAACTTCTATTTTGTTTTGTTCTTTATTACACGATACTGCCCAAGGAAACTGAACCAACTGATTTATGCAGGCAACTGGATGGATTAAAGGTCGAAAGCTCATACCTGGATGGTTTTCTGTCACACCTTCAAAATGAAGTAAAAGAAAAGCTTATAAAAGAAGAAACAGACCTTCACATCTACTCCAGTAATGATGTTGACATGTTAGTTCCAAATCCAGGATTCTCTGATGTGCATTGGTTCTACTTTACTTTTAGCAAAAGTGTATAGTTTTTTCTATTGTCAAGGAAAACATAATGTAGAAGTAACTGTTGCAGGCTCTTGAGCAATACACACACAGATGAAGAGGGCTTCCTGGGCACACCAAGCATGAAACAGGAAAAGCCACCTGGAGAGTCATCTAACACCGAGCTAACTCCTCTGACAACCGAAAGGCCATCATCCATCAGAGCAGCTAAAACAAATGGTGACCGTATTACCCCTTTTGCACAACGAGTAAATAAATTTACTCAGCATTATGTTCTGAATGCTGATAACGTGGCTAGCCTGCCAAGTAAAGATGAGGCTGAAACCTCAGAAGATGAATTAATTAGAAGGATCCCACCAAGTCAAAAGTGTACCTTGCAAGTTCAACGCTCAAAGCCTGAACCAGGTTGCAGGTTCATGTATGACAGGATGGAAGACCGAGTAAGGGCAATACTTATTTGTTTGTTTAATTTGTATCTATAGCTGCTTATTATATTAAGTTTCCAGTTTAATTACCTGGAAGATCGGATTGGAAGGTCAGCAAGATTGTTTTCTGCAACTGGGCTTTGTGGACAACCTGCAGATGCTACCCTTGCTTCAGAGGTTTGCTGCATTCTATGAACTTTCCTGAGTGAACTATCATTTTTTTTCTTGAAAGCAGATGTAATTATTCTTGCTTTTCAGGAGAACATGTTTGCAGTTGGCATGGTAATTTGCGATGGGGAAGGTCGTTTGAATGAAAAATCTATCTTGTTGCAGGGCAGGTAAGTGTGCTTCTTGGGCCTGTTCACCTGGACTTTTCCCGGTCACTATTTGGTTGTTTCTTTAGGCTAACTAAGGATCAACTTTTTCTAGTGTTGAGCACTCCAGGGGACAGCGTGTACGCCTTGATTTGAAGGATATAAACCAGTTCTCTTTGTTTCCTGGCCAGGTATGCACAGCTTGTTCTCATGCCATATGCATTATCTAGTGCACTATTAACATAAAGTTGAATAACAGGTTGTGGGTATTGAAGGCCACAATCCTAGTGGACACTGTTTTGTGGCATCAAAGTTGATTGATTCCATACCAGTTTCTGTGGATGATCAACTGCCTTGTGCTAAGAAACAAGCTGTTGACCATGAAGGGCATCAGAATTCGAACACACTATCAAGGGTGTTGTCATCGGTTAGTCCCTGATTATTGGAGAAACATTGGAGTGCAATACCTGTTTGATTATTTATGTTATTGTTACATGCTAGCAATAAACTGATGATTTATTTATTCTAGAAGGAAAGTATGATTCAGTACTACCATGACAATGGTCATTCTATCATCAAAAAACGTAGATTCATTTTATTTTCCTCTTTTGCCTTGCTATTGGAGTACCATCATGTTTCACTTCACATTTTGTATTCCAAATGACTAGCAGAACGGTAGGCTGGTAGAATGTCCTTAGAACTAAGGAACTCAAATCTTTTAATAGTATTTATCCTCAGAACTAATCAACTCAAATCTTAGTTATTTACTATCAATACATTTTAACAAAAAAAATGTACCCATGCATGAAAATTTGTCACCTACAATGTTGACACAGTAATAGGCTGTTTGTTCCGCGTCCTGGCCTGGGGACTCACACCCAGGCAGCATCATCCAACCCTGGGCCTTACAAATCAGACACCTGAGATTACTGCCTAGCCATGGCAAGCTGGCCATGACAGCAACCAAACATGCACTATATGCAGCAACATATATTTCTTATACTGTCTTTACCAGACTTAGCTACATTGTTTTTATGAAAAGGACCAAACTTAGCTACATGTTATAATAATAGTGCTCACTGATAGTATATATTTTTTCTTGCAAAGGACTGCGTCTCGATGCATAGATAGATAAAGAAGGTTTGTACAGACCTGAAATGAGCTACATTACAACGCCAAGCTCCTAAATGCAATGATCCAGGGGAAGGATCTCCCTTAGTAGGGGTGACCAAAGCCAAGAAACTGTTGTCACCCCCAGGTGGACATTGTACAGCTTCACTGTGTGGCCTGTCCACACAATATAATTCCTCCCTGAGTGTCAGTAGCCGGCAAAGCAGAAATAATTGCCGGGCTTCCATTACTGGAGAAGGGGTTACAATTGCCAACTTAGTCTCTTGGAGGCAGACATGGACACGCCTGTCGTGCTGACAAGGCCCTGAACACCTGTACGCTGAGGTCGACTATTTAGCCCCCGTACATTCCACACCAACATCTTAGGTTTGTATAACACTGGAACGACGGAGACACCCGAGAGATGAGGGCGAGGTGGCCAGATCTTGGCGAGGCTACAACCTATACGTTGTTGTGATCATCATGATAATGGAGTTTTGTAGTTAGTTTTCTCATGTTTGAATTCCTGATGTTTCTTGTTACAGGTCATTGCAGCAGGTCCCTTCACTACAACCGATAATCTTTTGTTCGAACCATTGCAAGAATTACTCTCATATGCATGCCGTAAGCAGCCCCAATTGCTCATACTGGTGAGGCCTTTGGATCCCGACCAGGAAATATTGTGTGTATTTATATGTTTCGTTGCTAGACATATGAATTACTATTTTTTTCTGTAGATGGGACCCTTTATCGACTCTGATCATCCTGAAATCAAAAAAGGAACTTCTGACCAGAGCTTTCATGATATTTTCCATTTTGAGATTCTGAGGAAGGTAGGTAGTGACAAAAGATTCATGCCTGCAGGTTGAAAAATCCGTTACTAAGTAATACTTGTTTGTTTCATATCTTTGTCCAGCTTCAAGATTTTACCCAGTATTTGGGGCATAATGTTCGCGTAATTTTTGTTCCATCTGTGCGTGATGCTCACCATGACGCTGTTTTCCCCCAGGTGTGTAGCTTTCCTCATTTAGAGACACCAGCCTTTAATTTTCTGTTTTGCAATTATAAACACAATGCTATGTTATGATGTATCAACAAATGTCTAGTCCTGATAAACATATTTACTACTCCCTCCGTCCGGAAATACTTGTCATCAAAATAGGTAAAAGGGGATGTATCTAGATGTATTTTAGTTCTAGATACATCTCTTTTTATCCATTTTGATGACAAGTATTTTCGGACGGAGGGAATACCATCTTAAACCAGAACTGCCCTACATTTAGGGATTGTCCAAGCTAGAGCCTGTTAATATGTGTAACTGAATGTGCTTTATCTATTTGTGCCTTCTTTTAGCTATCGATCCACACATCTGTATTTGCTTATGATGCATCTCTTTGTTCTGTTTATTGCGAAGAACTCTAATGATATATCTGTGCTATTGCTGTCTGCAGCCTGCATTTGACTTGCATTTACCTGAAGATATGACACAACAGGTAGTACATCACTCTTTATGATTAATTTTTTGCTAAATATCTAATAATTATATTCTTTTGTTCTGTTTTTATGCAGATTACTTGTCTGTCAAATCCAAGTCTGTTCAGTTCTAATGAGGTACGCCTATCAAATTGGACAAAAGAATTTATGTGATGGCATACACAGTTTGATGTTACACAACACAATTATGCAAGCTACAAGGCACTTGCAATAATATTTGTTAGTTATATCTATATTTATGCTCCTTTTTTCTGCTATTATGCTACGAAGTAATATTTTGAATTATGGCCAAGTATTCTCTTTATGTTAGCCTTAAGATACTTATTTTATTTTTTACCTTAGTGTTACATGTTCAGGAAGAGTGAATTCCCAATTGGGCCTACTTTGTGTACTCGGCTCGGATGATGTGGATTACTTTCATGCATGTTATAAAAAAAATCAATTAGCCTTATTATGTTAGCCTTCTGTATAACTGTTTGTCTTTCCTGTTTCAGATACAATTTGGCTGTTGCACGGTAGACATCTTGAAACAGCTGAGTGGTGATGAAATTTCTCGCAAGCCACCTGGAGGAAAGGCCGCAGATAGGATCGGGAGACTTGCAACACATATAGTGAAGCAACAAAGGCAATTTTGTTATTAAGCAAATTTGTTTTAGTCAGGACAGACGATGTTTTGTAGTTCTGAATTCTTACACAACATACCCATCTTACAGCTACTACCCTCTGTATCCACCTGCTGCTGGTGTGCCCATGGACTTCTCACTTGCCAAGGAAGCATTGGAGATCCCGTCAGCTCCTGATGTTCTTCTGCTTCCTTCTGATCTTGCTCCATCTGTGAAGGTAATTGTGTGATACCCACTGAATCTTGAAATTTCAAAATCGTTAGGTCACGAGGGAGTTTGATTTTTCATGTGTACTTTTTAGCTAATTATATTTGTTTCCTGATGAAATGATATCAAGCACACTTTGTGAAGCAGGTGCTTTCCGTGAACGAAGACACGGAGGAACATAAACGGTTCATCTGTGTGAACCCTGGGAGGCTAGCAAAAGGTATCGGTGGAGGCACGTTTGTAGAGCTTTACTACAACGAGGACACCGAGAAGACGAAAGCCTTCATTATGCGCATCTAAGAAAGGTACGGGTTGTAATTTATCAGTTAATGAAAACTAAACAACGGCACTTATCCTGGAAATGAAGGAAATCATCCACATCGATTATGTAGCAAGCTTTCCTCCGTGACTAGTTTCAGCAAGGAAAATCAACTCATTTCTGACGTACTTTATTGTCACTTTGCAGAATTTGTAACATTTTCCTATTGACCAAGTACCGCACTGGAAAGGTGAGACTAGTGCGAAGTACATCCGTTCTGTTCTTATTGCCCCACTCTGCTGTGAATTGGATCCAGGGAGTCCCTAAGCCTGTAATTCTAGTTAGTTAATTCAGCTTAGTATTGGTGGAAAACATCTCCAAAACTTATTTGTAACCTGTACGTACATTTTATATTCAGCACAAACTCAACATTCTATATTTGGGCATTTGTCAGCTTCTATTCTCCATTCATTGTACTAAAGCCCTCTGTTTCGACCCTGTCTTGGAAACACCGCGAAGTCCTCTGATTTGGATTCTCGAACTGAAACCAATTGGATTTTGATCTGTCCCAACTAGAATCGTCCACGACTTCCATGTACATCTTGGCAATGTGCATGTCTCAAATTCCCAATACAAAGAATATGTTTTCTGTAAGCACATGTCGAGACAGTCTATTTTGCTGCAATTCTAACCAGGTCAGGAAGAGACGGCTCATCATCACCTCTGAGCCAAGCCAACCACAGAATGACAAATTCAAAGTGCTGCCTCCTGATGGAATCAACAAGTGTACACCGCGAAGCTTGATTATACAAGGCAAACAACACAGGTCCTCTGATGACATGAACCAAGGGCAAAACTCAAGAACATATGGATAACTAGATCCAAACCACATGATCAACGTACTTTCTTACAAATCCCAAACAAAAAAACAAGGTGAGAGGTTTCGTCCCCAAGTTTTAAGACAAGCAAGTCTTCAGTTACACATGAAGAATCTTCTCCACAAGAGGAGGTCTCCCAGTTTTCACCTTGTAAGTGGCATTGCTCTCCATGAAGAGCCATCTCCACAATGGAGGAATCCCACAAGGAGAGGGTAGATGAGCTAAGCTCCATCAATAGTTCTAATGTTATTATTTTAGAAGTTGAAGAGGAGGTGGGGGAAGAGTATGTATAGGCCCACCCACAAAGGGGTAAGTGGGAAGGGAAAGATACATGGGTTGGGCCCAACTTCGTTCTCGCAGG